TTCACTTTGAAATTCAGTTAAAGGTTTTATATAAACTTGACAGTGCTTCTCAACTTATATAAAAGAGTTCTGTTTTAAACATTTCTGTGTGAAAGCAAATCTCCCAGGATATGTCAGTAAATCTTTTTTCTTTGATGAAGGCGAAAGAGATAAGTCTTTGGAAATAATATTGCAAAGAAAGTTTAAATAAAAATTACATTCTATTTTGTTTAAAAAGCATTTATACAGTGCTTCATATGTGTCAGGCAGTGTCCTAAGCATTTTTAAAAATATTCTGTCATTAAATCCTCATGATAACAACTCTATGAGGTAGATACTCTTATCTATTTTACTGATTAGGGGACTAAAACACAGACCTTAAGAAACATCCAGGGCTGCCTGCCTAGCAAGTGAGAAAGCTGGGATTTAAATCCCAGCAGTCTGTCTCCAAAGTTCAGGCTCTTCATTGCTGTGTATGCTTCAGTTCTCCTAGATTTTACATATATATCCAAAAATGTGAACTTTTTTCCTCCCAGAGAAATTTTTAGCAGAATGTTTAGCAACCTAATTGTTTATGATAGATTTCATCTTTTAGAACAATTTTGTCATTACCAAGGATTCATGATTTTAGCTGTAAAAATTTGGGTCAAACCTGCATGATGAGGAAAAGGTTAGTCAGCTTTAGTTTGCAAAGGTCCCCTGAGTTCTTGGCTGCCTGCATATTTCTCTGTTAATTCTGGCATGGACTATAGGGGCTTCAGTCTGCTGTATTACCTGATGTCAAGTCAGCCTTCTCTCAAATTATCCAGGCTTTCTGATCATCCCTGCAGCTGACTTCAAAAGAGTTCTCTAGTCTGAGATACACCATTCAGTCTCCACGCTTGGACTATGAATTTCCACCTCTGCGTATTCCAGAACCTGGAATTCCAGGTCATTGTCACAGTTCTATCCTTAATAGCATGCTTCAAGTTATTAATATCACCCAGTGAGCTGGTATCTCAGGTGGCAAGTTAACATGTTCATGGGAGAGAGGACCAGAGTTTGATCATCTTTAGAATATATGTATTTTTTAATGTTTTGAAAGCCCAGCTTTGTAAAAAGAACATGTTACTTTTATTAGGCTGTGTCCTAGCAAAAGGTCAGTACTAGTTCCTGTCTCTGGAGTACTCTTTTCTCAAGTACTTATGTGACTTGTTTCTGCACCCCTTTTAGGTCTTTGCTCAATTATCACATTTCCAGTGAGGCTTGACCTGAGAACCATGTTTAAACTTAATTAAATCTCACACCAGCACTCTCTGTTCTCCTTTTCTACATTTTTCTCCATGGCACTTAGGACATATATTTTATATATATTAATAGCATATATGTATATAGCATTTATATATATATTTACTTTGTCTTCTCCACTAGAATGTAAGATTTGTGGAGAGGAATTCTATGCTGGGTTCTCTACTGTCTCCCCAATGCCTAGAATAGAGCAGAGCAAATAGCAGGCACTCAGTAAATACATATTGAATTACTGAATGAATGAATAGTAGTGGCAATAGCTTCCTCTTGTGTTCCTACCAATATAGTCTATAAAAATTGACCTTGCTTGCACTTGAAAATGTCTACTATAAAATGGCTAGGAGTTTTTTACCTAGGTCTGGATGGATTTAGGGTGATTTCTAACCTTACAACCTCTCTAGTGATTAAATATTAATATATTTCTGTTATAAAGATGCTATGTAATCCATTCTCTATATCAGGAGTTGTGCATGTACAAAGTAGACATTCCGTCTAAAATCATTAGATCTTTATTCCAACTTTTTATGACTAAAGTTACTATAGAATTCAGTTGACTTAGATAATCTTCAAAGCATCAAGGGAACTAAAGACTATTGGTTAAAGGCTATCTTTTTTTATAATTATAATGGGAGGTGAGGACTGTGGCCAAAGGTTGGATCAGAAATGATAGGAATTGTTCTAAATCTAAGATGAAGTAGATGTGTCTGTATATGTAATGTGGCATTTTAATTTTTGTGTCTCCCAACTCCAAGCTTTATTCTTGGGTATATGTGAGAGGTAGTCTAGATGAAGGATGTTGAATTCCCTATCAGTAGTTTTAACGTATCATTCTAAGGATGCCGGATGTCCTGAGTCAGTGTATAGTTCAGCTGAAGCAATGACGTTCTGATGCATCTGTATGCTGAGTCACCCTGAAATTTTGCATGTTTTTGACAGTTAAATAGGATATCTTACTGAATACACTAAGACTTTGGTGTGGATATTTTTTGGAACATGAATAATCTTGTTATATACCTAAGTATCTAAAAATGTTTAACAGTGATTGACTCAAGGTATGCTACTTTTAGGTAGTGGGTTTTAGCAGTGGTCTCAGTTTTTGAGCATAAATACTGTATTTATGTATGTGAGATACATAAGCTAGTGTCTTCCACCTATTTTAAGTATTAGTAAAGCATGTTAATTTTTAGATCATAAAATATAGTTAAAATATTTCGTTTGTCACCCTATGTAATAGATTCTCCTCCATAGTTCTTAAAGTACACATACTCCATTTTGGAGATCACTGGAATGGAGACTTGAGATTTATCTCCTTTGCTGGTTCGATGGAAGCATTAAATAAGATAATAAGGTGAAGTGTGTAACATAGGGTCTGGCAACCATAGACATCAAAATTGGTTTCCTAGTAAGATGATAGATGCTCCATTTCTTTAGAGTGATGAAGTTGCCTAAATCTCAAAAATTACCCTTGGCCACATATAGTTTTATAAAACAAATAA